GTCTGTGCATGTTTTTTTTACTCTCATAGATTTTGTTACCATTGCCATGCATTATACGACTGATAGACTGCAACGGCTGGAGTTAAAAATCATCATTTGTGTTCTACTGAAGAAACAAAGTCACCTACATCTTGGATGCCCTGGGGGTAAGCAGATAAACATCACATTTTCATTTTTGGGTGAACTATCCCTTTAACACCAACCCCATCATTTGTGCTCCAGGGTCACATATTTAATATTATAAAATATTATAGCAATACAATAGCACACCATAGCAATAAATTATTCAGAATTGATTGATTCTCCCTTATAGACTTTTTTCACATTTCCATGTTTCTCAGCAGCAGAAGTCGTCATAGTTGGGTAAACTTCGAGAGCAGTGAATGGGAGAGTAGCCTACCACAAATATATTTTTTACATTCCCATTTGCTCAAATAGCAAAAGAAAAAAAATCCACGATAGTGTTTTCATGACTTTCAATAAGCATAAAGTCATTTAATTTTGTTCAGTTTCTCGGAAAACAAGACTTAGTGTTAATTTTGCATCTCATGCATCTTGATTTTCTTGATTTAAGGATGTTTAGATAAGAAAAAATGCATTTTGCATTTTTTGCAATGCATGCAACATTTAATGTAACTTTTGTGAATTTAAGACTTGCTTCTCTGATTTAGGAGCTTTTTAAGGCCTTAATTTGTGGAAGTAGCTAATTTTATTTTAGCTACAACATGTGAAACCAGTGAGAAGATACATTTACCACGATATCCACGACTGCACTTTCAGCTCTCTGACCTCCACATGGATTGGAATTATGAACAGCCAGAACTAAAAATAGTTACAATAATATAATATGTTCATTCCGTGACAAACTTCTAAATAGTCAGACCAGTGGCCTGTATCAGGATTATAGTTAACTAAAACTACAACCAAAAAAAATAAAAGTTATTTGAAATAAAATAAACATGAACTGATAGACAGACACCTTAACTTGTACTAAAGAAACTTGAATAAAAAACAAACAAAACATCATAGAATTAACTAAAATGAAAATATAAAAATAAAAACATTCAAAATATTAATACAAACTGTAACGGCATCTCAATGATACTAAAATAATATCGGTTTGTTTGTATGTGACCATAACCCGGTTTAAAAATGATGTTCAGTCATCTTTCTGCAAGATCTTGTGTGTCAACAAAGAGGCACAAATCACTTTCTCTGGCTTTTTATTCTTGCAAATAAATTCCTATTTTCTTCCAAACCCCATCATTTTCAAATAGATTAAAAATGCACATGCAAAAGCGTAAACATCTGAATTCAAATTGTTTGAATCAGTCACATTGTGTAAATCTGTTGCATCGCGCAAAGCCTCCTCTGCTCATGCTGTAATGGAAAGTTTTGATACTAATACTAAACATGTGCCGCTGCTGGTACATCGTGTGCACCATAAAAACCTGAGTGATCACATTTGATCCGTCTTATTTCATGCACTGCATACATATATCGTCATATACATGTAAGAATACATATAGGTTTGATATGATTTGCAAAGTGAAGCAAATAGAAGAATTCGTTAAGCTAATGTGCATTTGATATGCTTTTGTTCCCCATACTAGAGAGTGGCATGCATTACATTAATATGTCATCTAATGATTCCTGAATCAATCAGATCAGAATTCTAAAACTGAGTACAATTGAATAGAAAAAACGGAACTATTTCTGATTTGAAAGCAGCTGAATTCTGCTTTCAAATCCAGCTGAACAGAACCGAAGTCAGTCTGTGTTTAAGCACTTGTATTTGTGAATCAGCAGCTAAACGCATTCAATATTGACACGCGTCAGTATAAAAGTAGAGTCGTGGCATGCACTGAAAAGGTCAAATGCTCATCATAATTCACATACATCTCATTACTGTAATGTAAGAAATAATGCTTAAATGTAAAGTTCTTTGCATCAAAATAACTTTTTGGAGAAAATTTTGTTGAAAATAATCCCACAATGATCCTAAAAACAGTGTTACTTTATTATCATTATGAGCTGTTCTTGTAGTTTTTATTAACTATTTGAATTTGTTTTGTTACATTTTTCAATTTAATTTTTGTCATTTAGCTGTGCATTTTTTTGTATTTTGTGATTTTTTTTAAATGCATATTATTAATTTTTATTTGTGCTTCAGCTTTAGTTATTTTAGGACTTCAAATTAAACTAAATCAGAAATGAAACTAGCTCAAATAAGTTTTTTATATTTTATTTTACTTTGTTTTCAAGTAACTTTTTTATTTACTGTTTTTTTTTTTGGTTTTTGTTCATTTAGTACATTAAGTTAAACTATGAGAAATTATCATCTAATATCCTTTAAATATTTTATTTCAGTTCATGTTTATTTTATTTCAAGTAACTATTTTTCTATGCTTTTAGTATTAGTTAATTACAATAACCCTGCCTCAAAATTAACAATAGGCTTAATTTGCTTTATGCAAAATATATTTTTTGAGATGAAATATGACCCAGACGTCACAATACTGATCTCCAGCTTCATTCACACATATCTGTATTAATCTGAACTTATTCAGAGGTAAACTCGATCCCAAAACACTCAACATACTAGTCAAGTTTTATGACAAATGCATTGACCTGAACAAAAACACATGCAGACATTCGAGGAAGTGAACCTGAATTTCATTCAATCAGACGTCAGCAGTTTGTAAAAGAGCTAGAAACAGGCGTGACATCTTAAGATTTACAGCAAGTAGAAAGGACTCATTCACTTCTAGAAAAGTTAACAAAGCAAAACTCTTTGGCAAAAACTGCCTAACGTGTTGCATATCAAATTCAACAAAGCAAAGCGCTCCAACAGTTCATCTACTGATGCATATTGTGAAAAAAACGACCGTTTTTTCACAATATGCATCAGTAGATGAACTGTTGGAATGCTTGGCTTTTTTCTTTCCATCATGCAGTCTTCAGAAACAGTGTTAACTCTTGGTCGCGCGCAGCTTCCGGCGGAAATACTCCGGCGCGGCTTCCTGCAGCCAGTCGGCGTCCACCAAACACAGATCCCTCATGTAACAGCGAGACGTGTGCAGGAGCTCGTTGAAAAGCACGCAGGCGGGTTTGGCCTGGAACAGGATGGACGAGGGATGGATGGCCACGTGCTGGTGTGTGTCCAGAGCCACGTAAGAGCCATCCGGCTGCAGCTCCGCCGCGTT